AGATCCCCATAAATACATCTTGGCATCCAATTTATCAATTTTTCCGCCAAACCCGTCTCTAAATTTTCAATTTTGATTGTCAGCGATCTCGTCCCGAATAATTATTAGCGATTCTAATGATTTTTTCACTCAGCGATTTTCTTTTATTCGAAGCGATTCGAGGGCGACAAAATGTCAGATGTGCGATGAAGAAGAAAATTAGCTTTCCGACGATACCAAATTCCATTCAATCCGTATCGTGCACCGGAAAAGAATTTCTCTCGACTCCCTCCGGCGATACTGTATGTTTTTTGCCCCCATCTCGGCATACTCCAGATAACCGGTAACACACTAATTACCCGACGCGACACAATCTTATCTCCGACACAAGTGGCGGCGACTGAAAAAAATGTGCCACACTTATCGCCAGAACGCCGGTTCTCGTTATCGTCGCGCCTCATAAATCCGCACGTGCGATGGCGAATTCGCGGAGGCACGTTCTGGAAGAATAATAATACTAATAATAATAATAATAACAATATTATCCACCTGACGCCTGTTTCTAGCAGTGCAGATGGTGCAAAAAAATAAAAAATGATTAGTAGAACATCTCAGACTTATAAACTGCACTGAATTAATTCCACTTTCAAGCTAAAACCGACGGTGTTCACAGAATTTACCTAAGACACCCACACTGTACGCTCGCTATAACACTCGAGTTTCCACCCAAACGGAGAGCGACACTAGACAACGTGTTGTCGACGTCGGTGGTGTTGGCACTTGTGATTTACAATTACGCCGCCGCCGCCGCCAAGTTCGTATCAGTGTCAATAATGGCGATTTTGAAGCGATGGGAATCCCATATATTATAGACAATGGGGGCGTTTGAGACTAGTCGCACGTAAAAGCAACATTCGTCCTCGTTACGAGATCCTTCTGTACACTCTACACTCGAAACCGATATGAGCGTGCATAATTTAGGAGGCGGCGGGTGGTAAACATGCCTAATTCAGGAGATTCCTCTCTTGAGCGAGATTTTGATATTTTTATATTTCGAACAATGCGTTGGGCCCCCTAATATCGAGTGCGAGTGACGTATCGAAAAACTACGAGGTATTTTTGCTTCTCCAGACCGATAATCCCGATTTGGACAGGTTGCACGAGGGCTGTTATCGTTACCGAAAGTTACAATATTAGGGTGGGTTGGATGTTATTTCAGGGGACTGTTCTAGGATTTGTAGGGTGCGTGTGCAGTGGCTGAGTGTTAACACCAGTAACGGGATAAGTCGAGCAAATAATATCGACGAAAGGTGGGGAAAGGGCAAATTCCAATAATATATATAGAAAGGAAAGCGAAATCAGGTAGTTATTAATGCGAAAATTTGCAACAGGTGATGGAGAGGGGAGAAAATACGAACAACCAAACTAATTATGGAGGAATTTCAAGCAAAATATTTTTAAATTGACGTCATCAACATTATGCACGGGATGAAACAAGTAAATTGTAGTTAATTTAGTCAGGAATTTATAATAATCAGTGCAAATTTGTTCTACTCGTCGAGTTCGTTTTTCCTTGTATTATATCTTTTAATTTAATATGTAAATATCTAAGTAAACAAAAAAAAGTCAGGTAATAACTATCTATTGACAAAAAATGAGCGCCATGAAATCTTTAAAAGCAGAAATACTTTTATACGCTTGTAAGACTTAGAAGCCTATAAGTCACGAAGTAAATAACAAGAGTCAATTTGGTGAAGCATAAAAGAAAAACAACTCACGAAAGCCAATATTAATAAGCGTCTTTAGATATTTACGTTTTCATAGCAGTATATTCTTTCGTGTGTCTAATTTAACGCAAAAAGGCATCTTTGTGGCCTCCACAAAAGCTAAAAATAAAATTGTATTTTGATCCGAACGATTTTTCACAATACGAACCAATTCCCTTATAAATTGGTCAGACTCCCCACCCATGGCCACAAACAAACGATAATTAAGGCGAAAATGAAGACTGCTCGTATTTCTAATAAAACAATACGCCGCACACAAACAGCCCCTTCACTTTTTAAACGTCAAACAAATCAGCTTTCAGTCCGCCTTCTAAGAAAAACAGTAAACAAAACGAATCCTGCCAGCCGAATGACCATAAATAAAACTGAAAAGTTGGTCGACGTTCGTTTTTATTATTAAGAATGCTTAAATAATAAAAACCGTACGTCGACAACTTCTCCCCTTTATTTATGGTTATTTGCCCCCGTTCCGACAATCATATTTTATTTATCTTACGCGAGGGAGTAGACAGCGATCTATCATATAATAACCTCATTGTTAAAAAGAAAGGTCACTGAATATTTACCGATTTATCTCCCTATCGACAGGTACGACGTAAAAAATTCACCACCGGCTCAATCCCCCAAATGCACGCCAGGTTAAGGGGACGTTAAACGAAAATAATTTAGTTCTCGCGACATGCAAATACTTGCAGTCGCAAAACGACCAAGCCAACGAAAAATAATCTTTTTCAATCCGGTGAAAAGATCTGAAAACCACTAGACGTTATTAAAATTCCTAGCAGTCTCATTAGCTAGATTTTTATTTAAGATCGTTGGTTTTGGCTTTAAATATTTTGTAGCGAACTCAATCGTATAACGTCAACAACTAAAAAACCGTTTTTATTTTTCGGACATTATATTCGGATTTAAAGAAAATCCCTTTGAACTTTATCAAACAAAAGCACAGAAGATATATTTGTGACATTCCTATACCAATTTTTCCCATTTATTGAGGTAAGCTGCATTCTCAGTAAACTTCACCGTAAAAATCGCCCAGTTTTAATAATCCTTTTCGCCAGGCAGAAAAATTTGAAGCACTTTCGTTTAACGCCCCCTTAAGCTCGCTTCCACGGCCGTACACTTAAGTAGACAGCGAAAGCGGTCAGCTTTGTTATTTGAAAACCGCGATGAAATTATCGCCAGATTATTCGGAATGCAGTAAAGCTCGTGAGCTTTCGTGTCGGAGTGAAAAAGCGCTTTGCTCTCGCTGGCACTGCCAGTTTTACACGTTGTCAATAAGAGACCGAGAAATGGCACGTACTGCACTCTTAGTTCTCTATTAACGGGTTTTTGATCTGTGAAGTGTGAAGTAGCTTTGGTCACTTCATTGCCGCCGGGTTTGCGTAAAAGCTCGACCGGGATTGTGTGAGTTATTTAAGGATTTCGCACTAGCGACGAAAATAGATCGCCGAGTAAAATTTAAAATTTAACTGAAAGGTTTAGAAAATCCAACAAATTTCTGTTGACGATTTTTTAATATTGTAGTCGGTGTACTCGCACGTGATATTGTATTGGGTAATAATGCATATTGCAGCTCGTATCCGACTACAATTGCAGCCGATACCGAATCGACGTTCAATATATCGTGTTTCAAAAGCAGCGATCCCAATAAAAATTTAAAGAGGGAGGGAGGTTCCATTATGATGTGTGTGAGCTTGCCGCCAATTTTCTTCCTTTACTCTGCTACCATGGAAGTTCATGTTTCATCATGTATATTTTTTATTAAATTATCCATCATAAACGATTAATTTCCGCTGCATACGTCAGAATCCATGCATAGCATAGCTAACGTGACTGCAGTGCAAGACCTAAGGCGCACTACTAGCATAAGTATTTTGTCAAATATTTCTTAGGAAAATAAGATTGCTTGCTAAGGCTTTAACGGTTATTTTCCCAGATGGTGTGCCGGAATAATTTTGGTATTTAACTACGGTACGCTCGTGTATGGCAATAAATTTGCACGCAAACAAGAAAAAAATCGATCGTCGAATGGAATTTTAGCGGGTGCAGTGTACGCTCCACAAATATACTCCCGTATATAATAGTAACGAGTTCCTTCAAAATTTATAGCTCCGCCAATATTTGAGAGACGAGACTTGCACTCCTCCTCCCATACAACAAAGTTCTCCTCTGTTAGCTTTGACATTAAATTAGAATCAAAACTTTGTCTAACAATTTTATCAAATGAGTTGGTTGTTTTAGCGGAAAATTTATGTGGAAATTATCCTCTTAATCCAGTCGAGAACGTCAAAATATTATCAGCTTCTTTATTAGTCGTGGCTTTCCTCCAGTAAACACAAATTACCCGGTAGCACAATTCGGAGTTAAATTAATGAAATTTCACTTTATTAAAATAAACCACCGCAACCCGCGCGATGAATTTTATCGCCCCATACATTATTGAAAAAGCCGTGCCGATTTAAATTTCAGCGTGAATGTGTTCGTCGAAAGCTCGATCCTTTCATCTCGAAAGTGTCGATCAAGCCCTCAAGGAGAACATCGTTGTTTATCGCCGGGCTTTATTGTTAGTTTATGGTTGTGTTATTAATAAAATTTATTATTTTCCTATTGGCATTCTTTTATTGACACTCATAACACTTTAATCGGCTCCGTCAACAAACCGATGATTAACTTCGTCAACAGTCACGATCCATCCAAGTTGCGGTTTAAGTTTTATTTCGCTCTACAGGGCGGACATAAAACCGCCCGGCCGAATACGCTCTAAATCGGCTTTTAGGGGAACATCTTAAAGAGCCATCAGAGCAGACATAAACAAAAATGGCACTTAAAAAATATACAACCTCGAAACAATTATAAAATATGTCTTAATAATAAAAATGGGCTGCCTAGGAGCGAAAAGTTTTATCGTGGTTTTATGATGCATACGTGGGAACATGCGCAGAACATAACTAAAATCTAGTAGACTCACATAAAACTCTTTAGGCTACAAGTAGTTTTTAAGAGTACCTATAGAACTTTGTAAATAAGTTTCTAGCGTAAGCTAAAATTAACTAGCCTTCAAAACAAAACAATCCTAGATGATATCTCTGCCACTTCCGTAAAACTGTTTTATAAAACCATAGTGCTTTTATTTAATGACATGAACAAAATGAGTATTTTTAGAATTTCACTCCCAAAAAAAAACTAGTAACACTCGAGACCTGACGTTCCCGAATCTCGGCTTTCCCTTACCTTTCCACCCTTCACTACACTTTTCACTACTTTCCACTGTTTGACTAATCGCGGCTCATCCCAGGCCCAGCTGCTCCCACGTCATTCCGCCTCGATTCGCACATGGCCCATCATTTTTGCACGCAAACGGCGCTCCATCACTATTAATTCCTGCCCTGTTCCGGTCCGCACTGCACTTTTCTTTCTCGTCGACGGTCGAAAGTCAGATCGGACCGTGGAACATAACCTCAATGTGGCACGCCGCGCTGCCGTTCGTCCATTTTTCGAGATTTTCGACTTTCGCTCTCGGCCCGGAAAAAAGTCGGAGCGTGCTCGCTCGAGTCCGGCTCTGCGTTCCGGGCGAATCGCGGACTCCAACGCGCGTTAACCGACGACTGCCCCGGATCGACGCCCGACGCCGGAGGGACACTAGTTAGTTTGTCGAGTTGCCGCGAGAGGCGCGACGCACGAAAGCAAAAATCGTTACTGTTCGCGCAGGACCGCTAAGATTTCGCCATGGGTGTTGCAAATTTGTTTCTTGGGAGAGCGTGCGGACGCCGGAGAGGAGCTGCTGGTGGATGACGCGGTTTTGGATGCAGGCCAAGGGACGCCGGCGGGAGGGGCGCCGCGGACGGGGCTTTTACGCTGGAAATACGGGAACCGAAGAACGCGGGAAAAACTGGATCACTGGGACGAGGAGGAGCCTCGGCCGACGAACTTCCCGATTTCGTACTCTTTCTTGGTATATGTTTCACTGTTAACCGAAATGTGCACACACGTAAAGTTTTGTTTAATAATTCTAAAAGGATTATTATCCCGGCGCCTCCACCATTTGTTAAAATCGCTATTCATCTTACTGGAAATTCGACCCTTATTTCCACCATACAAGTATCCTCTCGTTTCTCATTATTAACGAAGTCTGAAAACACAATAACCAATCCTGCATTTGTAGCTTCGGGACTCTGAAAACTCCACGAATTACTAGTTACCAACAATATCCGCTACATTCGAGCACCACTAAAATCATTCCTAGTTTAATTATTTAGTAACTAGTCCGGATTACACTATTCACACACACCCCGAAACCAAATTATCGGTTACCATGTGGATGTAATACATCCCAGGCTTCCAAGCTTCTAATAAAGTTACCAATTACCACTACAAACTTTACCTACAATTCACGAACCTACAATGGATCTCCTCTCCATTCAAAATTTGTTCACCCTCCTCAAAAAAAAAAACCTGAAAAACTTTCACTTCATAAATTTAAAACGACTAAAGCCGGCTTCCCCATCTCTTCGCCCGAGCCCTCGGCATTGTTAGTAAAATAAATTTTACGCTCTTCTATTAAAAAAATAATTAAAGTATTTCTTCATGAGACGGGCCCGACCAACTCCATATTCAGCATGCGTACATTCGGAAGGAGTTTGAAATTGTCCAACAGCGAAACTTCATGTCGCCGGATTGCCTCCGGGTAGCTCAAATGTTCGTGACCATGTCACGTCTTTCATTATGAATAATCATAATAGACGGGCAAGTAGCAGTTGTACCGTCGGTGTGATGCTGTGACAATGTACAGGATGGTGCAAAATAAGGGGACAAACGTGATAAAATCATCGTCACAAAATTAAACACAGAAACCTGAAAAACGGTCTGTTTATTTACACAAAAACTGCCGAACCGATTACTTCGAAACCTAAAGATTACGACGTCGTAACGCGGGTCCATTGCGAATATGGGCAATATAATCAGCGGAAAATGATGCTTCTAATCCGTCCCGCCGGTCTCTTTTTGTCTTTTGTCTTTACCTTTTGCGCGGAAAGATTTTATTGCGCTCGGTGCGTTACCTTATCACCACTGTGTAGGTATATCTCGAAAAGGGCCCGCCAGTTCCGGATTCCGGTCGCTTTCCGGTGTCTTTATGGCAAAATGAACGACGTAAATTCAATTTTTGATTTTGTTTCTTGCGAGTGTGTGCTAGCTTTGCTTTTGTGTCGCTGTTGTAATAATTTTTAGGAGAATATTGAGTTTCGGAGGCGCTCTGTGCTAGAGAATTCGCTCGACCGTGCATACGTGATTTTTTTATTGCGAGTTTACAAGGGTTTGCAGTGAGATGTTTTGTTGTTTTCGAGGTGGATTTAATTGAGTCGGGTTGTTCGTATTAAAAGAGACGGAAAAGTTTATTTTGAAAGTATTCCTTAGGTTATTAGGTAATAGGTTTTTGTTACGTTGCGTGTATATTTTTAATGACCGAAGGAAATGAAAGAGGAAAGCTAGAATTAATTCTTTGTATGACGTTCGGTAATGTGTTTACTACCTTCGTGGCCTGTAATTTGTAAATGAATTATTAACCCGTACAAATTGTAAAATTTGCCTTCGGCGCCATCTGCAATTTTTTACGTGAGAAATAATTACACACTGGCCATACTATACACTGTTTGGCCATCACATCAAAACAGAATATGGATAAAAAAAACACCCCACATAAATTATACACGAGAGTGGCTGCAAAAAGGATAAAATCGATTGCTGAAATGTAATTATTGTTTTACTAGTACTAATTTATTTACCTTTAAGTTTACTGTTATTACGTGCTAAGAGTGAAACTGGTAATAAACGAGTTAATTACTTGGATGACCCCACGTTCAACACAATAACATATAAACACAAATACTCCACCTTGTTTAATCTTTGATTTACACCGACTAGATAAACTAAATTTATTTTATCCCGAACAAAACGGCCAAGCAAATAAACTAGTTACAATTAATTTGTTATAATACATATTATTCCAGAACCGCTGTAAATTTTATTATTAAACTAATTATTATTCCTATTTATTAGGCAAAATAAAATTTACTGGCCGGCAAATGCTGCAATTTTTGAAAATCTACAATGTGACGTATTCATATTATATCATTTTATTATCGCTGCAACGATTTAAATTAATTTAATAAAGCAATCACATCAACAATTCAGTACTATAAACTACACTATTACATGTTTCGAGTGTGTTTTATGTACGGTAATGCGCGCTATATCTTTTAGATTAGGATTTCTGTAACCAATGAGCGAGTGGTACTTTGGTGCACGAAAATAAGCTTCCTCGACGAAATAGGGCACGATTAAAGTCTTAATTCAGAGGGTCTTTAAAACTTTTCACGAACTAGTTTTCTCACAATAAATCTAGATTCGTGATCCTGAGAAAATTTAGGAAAAAAGTAGCCCCATTTCGAACACTTTTGACAGCTAAAAAATGGTGGAGGTGCCGGGATAATAATTAAGTTCGAAAATATCTACTTCGAAAATGTTAAAAAATACGAAAAGAATGTCTTAAGTAATTTTAAACAATTAAAAATAATCATTTCTGGTGCTAATTGTTCAGTAATTGCGAGAAATTAAAATTCGGGATACGATTTTACTTTCTGACGCCCTTCGTCCCGTACTTCCGCCAAGCAATTATCCGTATTTGTAAAAAGAGCACATTTTATTTCTGTTAACGTGTCCATTACAACAAATGAAAACGTCACGGTCCATATTCATATTTCCTCGAGAAGCGGGGAAAACAAAATTAGGTGAAAACCCCGAACGGAGAAGGCGGCAACCCCATGAAAAAAGACGAATTATTGTTATTTGATGTGAGTCCACATACCCAGAAATTGTACGTCTGTTTCAATAAGCTTAACAATTTATTTTTCGGGGCAATCTCGGCAATTGCTTCCGCCCGGGGACTGCAGCGTGCTCGTTTTTATACTTATTACCTTTAAAGCGAGTCTTTGTTCTCCCGGATTTCCCCTTTATTAAAAAATATTTAAAATGTTTACTTTGCCATCAATCAAGCGGGCCGAGACAATGACGTCATCACGAAACTTAATCGCCTAAAAGCGCGCGGAAGTTCCGGGTGGCGGCGGGGGCGACGCTGCGGTTAGTTGAGTTGTTAGAAATACAGCAGGCCGTGATAGCGAGGGTTGTTTTGTTTTTATAGCCGCCTTATCTATAATTGGATCAAATGGGAGGTGGGGCGGGGGCTGTCGCCGGCCCGCGCGCGGGGCGTCTTAGGGCCCAAGGGCCACCATATATAACAGGTATGGCGCATCGATCGCAAATTGCAAGAGAAAAGGGCCGGAACGGCGGAGTCGGGAAATTCGGGAAGGTCGTTTGACCCGACAACGCTTCAGGGAATCCTATTTTCGACATTTGCTTTAATTCGTTTACTCTTTATGATGTTCCGTCTTCATTAAATACACAATATTCCCTATGTACTCGCTGCTACTCTAATGAGTCTGCTGAAATTTTGTAAATATTATCCTAGCAACGTTATTAAATATCTAAGGATTCGGTTCAAAGAATTTCATATTTCAAACGGATGCTGCGACGACGAGAGCACGAGATTTTCATTACGGTGAATCACGGAGGATCGGGATGACGATTTTTGTTTTACGGATTTGGGAAGACGGGCTTGCTTCGATTAGCACATCATCGCTTTGATGGAGGGTGAAAAGAAGCCGAGTGGAGCGATGAGAAAGTTGAGACAAAGGCGGACTTTCACATTAATTACAAAGATTTATATAAAAGTACCCGCGAACGCGGTACTGACGTGCGTTATTTTCCGGTAGATATATCAGCGTATACCGGTTTAAAATGAGCTCTTTCTGTTCTCCTCGATCCAAAAGCTAAAAAACTTTGATAAAAGTTATTTCCATTAAGTTCCTTCATGAGCAGGTATATATATTTTTTAAGAACATATTGCCTAAATGCTCCAAAACTTCAAATTTCAGCGTGCTCGAATATATAGCGAACTGGGGAATGCGTAATTCAGTCAGGTTTCAGGCGTGCATACGAAACAATCTGCATATTGAATATATTAAATATTTTATATTAAATAAACTTAGGTCACGTGTTAACATTGAAAATTATTCACGTGTATCTAACGTAATAAATAAAAACTTGAACTATTCATAAACACTAAAAAAAATCTATTAGAGCCGCGGAAAGTGAGGCGAGATCCACTCATGACGTCATAGTAACATCCAACCGATTAATGAAGCGTCAACATTATAACTAAAAACTACAAATTCCAAATTTGATAAAAATCATACGACCAAAAATAATAATTTGCATCACGAAATGGTACAGGAGTGTCACAGGTCTCCGCTTCGAGGTTTGTGGTTGTTATTTTATTAATGATCTGACATCAAGGCAGAATCTGAAATATCCGCTTCATACCTGATTATTTAAAAATTCATCATTCTATTAAAACTCTAAAGGGCTGTATTAAATTACAGCAAAAAAAATTGTTTTAGATCTTGTATCATTTTAGATTTGAAAGCATAATCTCCAAGATGCTATTTTGTACGCCGAATAAATGTAGCAATGCTTTACAAATACACACGAATAATTTTTTTCCAC